GTGTTATTGCTAACGAAAAACGATTCTGAGCGAAGTATTAGAATTTGTATTTTTTGCCTCGTTGTCAAGATAATTCAGAAATTAACCGAACGTACACAAAAAATCGTCAGCTTTTCCCATTAATTAAGAAAATTACGAGAAAAATCAAAAAGAAAAACGACTTAATCGGTGCACTAAGTCGATAGAGAACAATACAAGAAAGAAGTTCGTATCAAATGTTTGATTATTTCCGGTAGATACGTAGTTTACATACGCAAAATAAAATCAATCTGCGTAGGCACAGTTCGAAAACGTATGTAAAATATTGAAAATGCGATGAACGACGAAAACTGTTAACCTAACCACGGGTGTATAGATCCAGCGTGGACAAATCTCTTAAATGCGACACGTGAGATAATACAATATCTTTTGCCCGTCGACGTCGTTCGTTTAATTCATTTTCGTCTTTCTTCCGCGGCAATTGAATTGGAAATACGCACTGTAACCGTTTAATTTCCATAATGGCGAAGCTTACCCCGCGTGCATGTTCGCGCGCATACATCGGATGCCGTCGCACGGTTTCCCCGTCAAAAGCGCATTCAGTACTTTCGTTTACATAATGCATAACATTTCATATTTTATTACTGCGAGTATGGGTAGGTAGGCAGGCGTACTCGTATAGTACATAAATATATTATGCACTAATACGCGGGAGTATCATCTCCTCGATCCCCGGTAGGTTATGCGAATTGATATTTTTCATTTTACCGTTATACGCACTAAGGCTAATAATAACCTCGACGACGTACAGTATTTTGATATGATAATAATATTTTCAATATTTTCAATTTCAAGAGGATTTTTTATTCCCCTTACTGTTAACACGATTTCGACCGGACTACTTCTCCAGTGCGTTCTATTACTATAGAATATTTTTCGTCTATACTCGGTGCGCTTTGTGCTCGTAGAGTTTAAAATTCCTATTCGATTTTCGTCAACGTTTTCGAATTTTTTTCCGCAAACAACCATTTCTGTCAGTTTATTCGTTTCGAATAAAACTATTAATATTAAACGCTCCATCCAGTACCAAGAATGAGAATGTCACTCAAAGTGGTAAACCCATATGATATCAAAAATACCTAGTTATTAAATATAAATGTAAAAAAAACCAATGAAATAAAATCGAAAGATGGTTTTGAAATTAACAAAATATCTAATTCAGTTATTTCAGAACTTTTTAGATTTTTGTTAAATATATTCAATCAAAATAAAATTGTATAATTAAATCATCACAGTTATCTACACGACTACACTGATAAAATAATTATTAAGGAACGGATTTTATTTCAATGAAAAATTCAATAAATTACGTACCAATTTTTCTCAAAATATGGAATACGAAATCCAAATTATGCAAATATCAAAAAAATGTATTAGTGTTGAAAATTACAAAAGAAATATATTTTATAATTATAAATATTAAATAAAAACAATACAAATTATGCAGGTATATAAAACTAGGATTATTTATTCGGAACAAATCAATGAGAAACAACATAGTACTATTGAAGGTTTACTAACAAAAAAATAGCAACAGTCTGTTCGGAGAATACTCTTATATTGACTAAAAGAAAGTTCCACGTCAACAAATGTGATAAGACAGTACCTAATTCATATTAACTGTATCAGAAAGAGTGAATTCAATGTCCAGAGATCCTAGTTAATTTTGTCTTTTAAAATATCCCTGATGATTTAACAGTTTGAAATCCAGAATGCTTCTCAGTTATATTGGCAAATTTCTGTTTAACCATTTTTTTCCTATGTGCCCGTGAGTTTTCCTCTGATTTGTCTGTAGATTTAAATAATGTAGAATATTCTGATCGTTGTCAAAAATTACGGTGGTAACGAAACGTTAAAGTGTATTATAATAAAAGTGAAACCGGTACTTTTATGCCGGTTAACAAATGCGTAATATACAGTTTAATCATTGTTTTAATAATTATTAGTAATAACTATTTAAACAGGTCATTTGTTGAATTCCTCTCATTAAATTGTTCATTTACACACCGAACACTTACGTTTTAAAAAAAATCGGTAGGGTAGAACTTCAGGTTTAACTGTCTCAAGAAATCACCTGGCGTTTTGATAATATAATAGATATGTATTTTCCTACTACCCACCTATTTAATCCTTGAAAGGTTGAATTGCCGAGATTTTTATTTGAGTGAAGGATGGTAGTCTTCACTGACTTCAATTTAATGGTGTGAAAACGATTTCTCTAAGTTAATTCCGGTTGCTTTAAGTGAAAACCCCTAAAAGTTATACATTTTTAAAAATTGGAGATTTAGTAGGTTTCCCGCGGGAATGAGATATTTTTCCGGAATTAATAATATAACCTATAACCCTTTCCGGTCATCCAACCATCCCTTTGAAATAAATCACGTCAATCAGTCTCTCAGTTTTGACGTAAAAAAAAAAAAAAAAGAGACAAACAAACTAACAAACTTTCATATTAATATCGTTACTGGCTACATAATATTATTATCGTTCACTCGGTGACCGTTTATGACTCGAGTAGTAAGTAATTCATTTAGCATACGTCGATGTGATGTGCAAAACGATTCGAAAAAATATAATTATTGAAGAAACTTTCAAATCGCATAATTGTATTGTTTTTGAAAATAACAAACCGAGATGATGTCGATTATAGAGTGGGTACATTTTGTAGTCGTGGTTTTCATCTCGACGGTGGCAGTCCACGGCTTGTACTGGTATATCAAATGGTTGAATATGTCATCAAGTAAATTATAAAAACTTTTGTTTTTAAATTAAGTAAAATATCTTGAATTTCTATATTTTAGAACCGTTCGGAGTCGATGAGTTGAAGATGATAAACGAACGGATAAAGGCTTACTATCTAGGTAAAATCCACGGAAAATATTGTTGTGCCTAATCGATTTAGATTTTAGAATATAATTAACAATTCTATAAATTATATTTTGCAGTTCTAGATGAAACGAACCGCGAGAAATTGAAAATGATGAGGAATAAATTGGGTAATACATAGAATTTTTTTGATACAGTATTAAACTCCTGCGGCTTTAGATATAGGCATTATAATATGGTTGCGTATCGGTCTATACTACACTATGACCGGCGTGCAACACTAGTTTTTAACAAAACATCGTTGGTAACCCATCAAAAACCAATAAAATCAATTTTAACAAATAAAATAAAATTGTGGTAAGAAAATTGTAAAGAAAATTTAAGATGATCTTAAAAATGCACCAGCTACAAGAAAATTCGTATAAAGTTTTTGAGTGGAGCGAGATTTCTGATTGAAAAACTGTTTATAGAACCAACACCACAACTTACAAGTTTGTACCTGGCTAGCCAACGGTATGAAAAAAAGCACTTAACTACTCGTATGTTAAACGTGGAGATCAAGTAACTACTTACGCGATGTGGATATCATTATTGTGGACCCGCTACTAAAAATTACACCGTTTGTGACTAATGACTAAAACTGGTATACTAGCCACCGTAACGTAACCTTTCTAGAACTGTACACAAAATATCAACAGCATGGACTGTACATATTTTGTGGACCAGTGGCGCTGAATAAGATATCCAGGTTAACGTAGTGGTAGTGAGGTAGTGGGTAATGGATATATTTTCCCTTTGATGTGTAAATATTATTTAAAGAGGATAATAGCAATACAGGTTGAGCCTTGAAATATAAATTGTTACAAAAATAAAGTATTTAACATGCTTGTATTAGTTGTAAATTGACTGTTCAATACAAAATCTAGTAAAATCATGCTTTTTATGCGTTAGGTATTTGATTTTATAGCACGCGAAATTTGAAAAATATATGCTAGAATATGCAATGTAAATAACGAAATAATCACAAACTACACGTTTTTCAGTAGCCAGACATTTTGATGAATGTTAACAAATGTTTAGGGGGGAGGGGAAGGGCTACGGTGAACAAAGTGGCCCCCGGTTAACCTGCTGATACCTAAATAGAAGGGCGATAATTACGCCTACTATGACTATTGACCGGACCATTTCAAAACTTATTCGGTGCCACTGGTGTGGACCGGCAACGAACGTATATCCACGGGACATGCAGCGTCTCTCGGTCTCTGGATTTAGACATTTAATAGGCACAATAGGTACACACTACATAGTCGATAGTTAACGTATGTATAAGGATTTCCACGAACGGTAAACGACTGTGATTAATCTACATTTTTTTTGTTCCTTCAACAATTATGTTCAACGTCAAAAACATTTTGATGTTACTTAGATAGTTTTGTTTTAGATATAAACCACAATTTGACATAGATCATACATATTATTTATATCATAGTATCACTAATCAATAGTTAATATTACAAAAATTATAAAAACACTATCTGCCACTCTATACAGGGTATAGGGGTCGAAAAACTTGACGTCCATGTCGTTGCCGGTCCATAATATTATCTAAATTCGTGCTCAATGGGCTTCTTATTCTCATACCCTATTGAGTACCAGGGCCGTTTGGTATCGATACCCATTCCCTGCGGAAAAATAATAAAATACATTACCATTTATTTTAAATTGAGCGAATAGCTAGTTAAAATATTACATGCGGTTATTTGTTTAGATAACTCGAGTGTTGGAATAGTAGTCATGGAAACGATATCACAATTACGATTATCAAACTATAGGTACCTTAAAGGTTAGTTGATCAAAGGTTTTTCACGCGGGTAAGGGGAAGATAAACAAGGGGAAGGTTGAAAATTTGTTTTATGAATTTAATAAAAAAGCAAAAAAAAAAAAAAACAATTATTAAGGAATTAATCCCCATCTCCTCCCTCCTAAATTATCTTCTGGTAAGCCTTAAGAGGTTTAACATAGCTTTGCTGGATACGCAACCATATAGCTATTGTCTAAGGCTGTCGTTTAAGTATAAATCGGTTTTCGTAAACTTCAATTAATAATAAAATACATAAAATAACCCTTTCAAAGGTATGTCGTTAAGAGCTAATCAAATACTAGAGAGTAAATACAGACGCTTGAGTCGTAATTTTTCTTCCCTGTGGAGTAAGTAAAAATATAATTTTTTTTTAGTTTTGCGTTCGGGCACTTAACTTTATAAAATTTGATTTTGCAATTACAGGATTAGTGAATAACAACAATCGTGACAGCAGGTCGATGTATAGAAACCAGCTTGGCGCACACTGGGCAAACGAAAGTATTTTTCTGCCCGTGTCACCCGTGTTTATTTATACTACGGCTCAACCGTCTACATCGCCGATCTCACCCGATACACAATATATGGACCCAACATCTTCGCCATCACCCCCAACACAGACCCCACTTATGGAATCGGCCACCTATATTCCAAATTACTACCATCAGTTTCAATGTAATCAACATAAAATTTAAATAAACTCTTGAATCATAATAATAATATTGGGCTCACCAAACGTACGTGTGTTTTAGTCCGTGAACAATATAATGATCATTGATTTAGAAGAACAATATTGTATCAAACAGTATCCGTTACATTTTGATTCAAGTAGGTAAACGAATATAAGTTAACACTGTTGTACATTTATTATTATGTTATTTGCGTATCACCCAGTGTTTTACCCATCACTGTCCGTTCAATAATCAATACCAAATCATCTTATTGTGAACAAATTTGTTTGTAAATAAAAATAATGATTGTTCTCTAAACGGTGTTCATTATTTATTTATTTATTTATTTCTATTTTATATATTATTGTGTATTACGGCCTAAACTTTTCATTAAATTTTCATCATACGAACAATAACTATTGATTTATATACGCCACTAGTTTTAAGTATAGTTATATAATCATAATCGATTATGACGGGCATCGACATTTTCTCGTCTGACGGTCTAGGGACTTTGAATACCGAAAATATCTGTTGCACGCGCAATAGCCTTTGGGTGGCGTGTACAACAAAGTAGAACTGTCCACCTTAACTGAGCAGTACTCGTTACCGTGATAATTCGGTTAAGAGATCGAAATCCAGAGCGGGTAATCTGTGTTTGAACACCGTGGCGCACAGGGACGTTACATTCCCTTGGCCGTCTAGTTACTAAAACTGATTACTGAAGGTTTTGGGGTCGTTCGGATACTTACTGCCATCTGCGTCCACGGTAGAACTATGCCTGTATGACACTATCCTATGATTATGCTATTTTTCGTATACAAAAAATACGGATATACTTCGTACGATGGGTGGGCCACTGTTGTAGGTGAGAAGTTAGAAAGGTAGAATGCAGACGAGAATTTAATGTACACCTGTACGCAACGGTCAATCATTGGTAACGGAAAACGATTCTGAGCGGAATTCGGTTGTACGTGTTTTGAAAGGCTATATATTTAGAATTTTCGTAAAAATTTGATACTAAAAATATAATTAAAAAAAAAAAAAATACGTTAAAACCTCAATTTTTTTTTATTGACTACTAAGTACAACTTATAATGAACCTTTTGTTAAATTTTAAAGCATTTCTATTTGGTTTAACAACTATAGAGTTGATTATAGCGTACACACTGAATACAAATTACGTAAAAACTCGCAAAATTAATATATTTATAAATAGCTCAAAAATAGATAAAATGTTTTGAGAATTTTACCAAGTTTTTTTAACTTTACTACGCAGGCTTTCGCCGATGGGTATAGAGGAACGTCGTCCCCGCATTCATAATAATATCGTTATTGACGTTATTAATAAATTACTTATGAGTAAATCGGTATATTTTTTTTTTTTTACGATAAAAGCTATTTATCCTTACCGTTCTATCAACAACAGCCGTCAAAAAATAAATCAGCCATCTGCTATGATAACATTGTTACGTACCGTATAATAGATGTACAAAATTACGTATTGCCGTTTGCCGTCGCGGCCATTAATATTATTATTGATTCGGTGGAAATTAATTTGTTTTCGCAATATTATGCGTAATATGATAAAGTTTTACGAGACCATTAAATGCATTTATAATCTCCCTTTCAGTGCAACGATATGGCGATGATCATCACTCATGTAAACCGCGCAGTTACGCGTGTATACGTTTTTAAATGTTTCGTACCTGTACGGTGTGCGCGTAACTATTATTATTAAAATATTATGTCTGCGACCTGTGTGTGCTCGATAGCACTGCGGTTGTTACCGAAATATAAACGATTAATTAATTTCGTATGTACATTTTTAGATTCTGAGTGGATCGTGGAGTATATTGGTTTTACAGTGATAATTATTTTTATTTTTTTTTTACGTAAACACTTTTTCTACTAGAAAGAATACTCCGATTATCACGTATAGTACCTTTTCCGAGAGGAGATTTTCTCTGGGCGGTAATTTATAAAGATCATTTTTTGAAATCCTCATTAATATACGAGATAATGAAGAAAACCTGGTTCATTAGGTTAAAAAAAGTTTAAAGATTAAAAATAAATTTGTCATTTACAACCGTTTTTATTTTATTTTTTTTTTGTGTTATTATTAAGTTTTTATTATTTTAAATATCCTATATTACCAATTTTTCGCCTACAAAAGTGGCTGCATCCACGTGCGAAGTATGTCTGTCCATTATATATATTTAAAAAAAAGAAGACGGACATATTTCGCACGGTGGGTGGGCCGCTGTTGTACGTGAAAAGTTGAGAAGATAAGATACATAGGGGAATTTAATGTATATCTGTAAACAACGGTAAAGCAACGAAAAGCTAACGAGAAAACGATTCTGAGCGGAGTTCAGTTGATAGTGTTGCTTTGTCAAAAATATATATGTCCTATTATTATGGTTAACTGATTACAATAATGTACGTTTCCATGACAATAATGATTGTTAACGATTTATTAGGACAAAAAACGTCGGAGGTACGAAAAAATAACCAATAACGGTTTCTGTTATTGTCGATTTTCCAGTGAGGGGGGGGGGGAGGTCGCTGATGGCGAAACGTACGTTCTTGTGGAAATGCAAATATTATGATTAAAAATCGACATTTACCATTAGATATCGGCGGGGGGAGTGACATTATATTCCTCTCGCGGTCTCCTCGAAAAGCCAACATAATGTATTATACGAGTATAATGTTGTATTGCCATTCGTTTTTAAACATCACCGCAAAATCCAAGGTAGTATTATTGTATTTATTATCAAGAATCGAGCTTTCGAAACCCCGTGTTCGACGATACTCGAGCTAATACATTATTGCAGTTAACAACGCGGTATTAAGTATACCGTGACTATTATTATGGTTATTATTATAAAAAAAAAATATATATATTATTCGACGTAATATAATATCATCATCGTACAAAATACATATTTTCCATGAATTACTTGATTACGGAATGACGATAAAAAAAATTCCGTTCTTGAAACCCGGTTCTTCTGTACCAGCTCGTATCTTTGTATTGTACTATATACGATGAAATGTATACGATATAAAACTAGAAAACGGACTGAGTAAGTAGTTTATGAATAATTACGGATAAAACCGATTGGAGAGCATCTCGAACGATAAAAAAAAATCCTGAAAAATTAAAAATAAATCGTGCACACGAGGTACAGGTAAAGTACATCAAATTAATATACGCCGTGTATATAGATACAACGAAAATAACAGGAGAGGGGAAGTGAATAAACAAGTACCATTCGCGTGTACACCTATAAACATTTTTATTTTTAATCTTTGACGGTTTTTAGTAAACGTTTTTTCAATACTTTTTTTTTTTTTTTTTTTGATGACTTTTACCATTATAATTAGTTAAAAATTAAAAGAGGCTTCTTGATTTCCTGCAGAACGCTATGCCTTTTGTATGGTGTTTTGTAATTCGTACAAATATAGCGTGTGAGTGGGTGACAATAATGCTTTGGAGGATAGTTGTTTCAGGTCTTCATCTAGTTCTCCCATGGTAACATTTTAAAATTCGTTATGTCTTATTATCAGCTAGTATTTACTTATATGTCTTTTTCACCGTCTAGCTTGTTTTTAAAATTGAGAGGGTTAAAACCATAATGGTGAAAGTCAAGTTTTCATTAAAATTGACTTAAATCTATATTGAAGCGAAACGTGGACAATTAATAAAAAATAGAAAGATATGTTGAAAGCTCTGGAGATGTGTTGGAGAAAGATATGCATAGAATAAGCTGGACTGAAACAAGATTGAATGAAAACGTCTTGAGCACAATAGATAAAAAAACGAACATTGATAGACACTATAAGGAAAAGGAGCCGGCAGTTGATAGAATACACGTTGAGACATGGGGATGGACTGCATAGTTTCATAACTTAAGGAATGATGGAAAGATCTATAGGAAGACCCAGGACGAAATACATTAACCAAGTAATACAGGATGCAGAAAATACTTCCTACAGAGAGCTCAAGAATGTGACGTATATCAGAGAAAAACGAATAAGGCGTTTATTGTAAAATTTCTCAAAAACCAATCTTCGGGCTGAAAAAAAAAAAATACTACTATGGCTTAAATTTCCTCAATTATTCTCCGAAACCATATTTCTGTTGTGAGTAGTGTGTTACTAGGTGTTACTTTTTTGCGATTCACGTCTGTAAGTCAAGACGTCTCGTTAAAATGTCTATTCCATGTAATCATTTTCTGTTGTAATTTTTTTATTCTAATATAATAATACGTAAACACTTTAGCGCATCGATACAGAATCGAAAATACCGTTATATGATATTATATTACATAAGCAAGTTTTAAACGAACTTAACAGACGTTAGTTAAATTCATTGTACAGAATACGTAACGAATAACATTATAAATTGCGCTTGGAAAAATTGTACACGCATGTTTTGGTCGTCGCCTTATAGAGTTTTATACGTATAAATAAATTCGCAACACTCGACCGAATAAAAAGAGTGCTGCGAAATGTTATACGCCTGGAAGATCGATATCGGTTATTGCATCGTTTATATTATTATCGTCAGTGTATTCATGTACTCGTATAAATATATATTTTTTTTTTATTTTTTTTTTTTTTATACATAAACCCCGCCGTATTCCTATAATTAGTTTAAAAATTTGATTCCTCGAGGCGCGGTGAGAAGAAGGGAGAGGGGAAGGGTGGAATGGAAAAAAAGAACTTGTTTATAATAAATAATAATAATAATATTATCTCCCGACGCGATAATATTCACCTGCGGCAGTGTTGTGTTTCGTTAATTAAAATAATAACGGGGGAAAAAAAAAATAATAAAAATGAAAATGAAAATAAAAAAAAGTTTCTTTAAATTAACAAAGATTATATTGTCGGCTCGCCCGACGAAAAGTTTTAATATCGATACCCGTAATTCGCTCGTTATAATATTCTATTGATTTATTTTCGATTGAAACAATTATAATATCGAATCGTAAATATTTTACTCGGGTATA